TGCAATTTTCGCTTTTGTCAATGAGTGATCTTGTGAGTCGACCTTTTCTATGTGGACGCTGAGAATAGATTATACCAGTAGCGGGGCGTTCCTGACTAAAAACTAGGTCGTTCATGTCAAGAGATATAGCAAATATTCGTAAGGGTTTATGTTCCCGAATATATTACTAATAAACTTCTCTGACATTATTTGAGAAATTTTGTGTTAATGCAAAATGAAGTTCATAGTCCATACCGTGGAGAAAATAATTAAATGCTGTAAATATACGACTGCACTGAAAGGGAGGGTACTTTAATGTTTTCAATTATCTGTACATGTACGGTGGAGACAGCGAAATGTTTGTACACGGTATGTCAAACGCGACTATCCCTGCTTTTTAAATGATTGAAAACATTATTCTTGGAATACATTAATATTTCGGATAATCATTGTACAACTGTAATTGCAAACTGCAAATGATGAATTTGAAGCAAATTGTATTTCATTTAACTGTTTATCAAGCAGTTTTACACTCAAGTATCTAATTCATAACGAAATGAAAGCAGCGATGACTCAGTTCTTTTCACACATCGATGGTTGTTGGTTTTGAAACATGCGTTCAGATATAATATATGACTCCAAACTATGTTGAATATGTGTGTAGTCGGCCCGTCGTTCAGTATTGACCTAACATTATGCGTGTTATGGAGACCTTCATTTTCTGTTGTACGCAGGTCGAAGTCTCTTGTTAAGAGTGGGCCTGTGCATCGAAATATAATCAATAACAACACATGCGTACAACAAGGGCGTATGCTAAGGCGTGTATTGTTTATTGTAACTGTGAATGTTTCCACACCACACACGGTCACGACAAGGGTCAAGTAGAAGCTTGCCAACAGTAATCCTGGTTGTTACTCTAACCTTTTCCTCCTGGTTGTATGATGTTTCTGTTTATCTATGATATATTTTGTAGCACTAGACACTTAAGACATTTTAACAGATTTTCTTTTTCCACTTTTTGTAAATATTAACTGCATCCCGAAATGTTGCTTTCTATCAATCGAGTAATGCAAATATTCCTAGGTATCAGCAAACATATTAACAATATACACTAGCGATAGAACATACACACTACACAGGTAACGTTCTGAAGATCACTTGTATGAATCTTTATGATTAAGCAAATAACGTCGTACATGTCCAGACAAGTTAGCAGGTATTGTGTCTGTTTAAAAGCCTGTCTCACATATAACATCAAAACAACCGACAGATTTGTTGATATCAGTTAAACCTATGATACCTTCTGTTATCATTTATGTATCGGTTGACAGATTTACGTCAAATGGCCTATAAAGTACATTATCGCTATGCATTAGGGTATTGTGTTTTAAACGTGTTAAAGTGTTTGTCATCGTTGACCTTAGACTTGAGTAATGTCTTACGTACACATGACGTACAAGTTGACAACTCTTAGTCGGGTTTTACAAAGACATGGGAACATCACGGCTCTTAAGCAAAGATCCATTTAAGTGCATTCTTAATATTCCATAGGCGTTATGTTGATAATCATGCCAAAGCGATGTTCATAATACACCACAACCCCGAAATACCAAAACTGTGTGCACGTCGTGCTAGCTGACAAAAAATATTTTTTTCAAAAAGGGAATGAGACCACAACGGTTTAATGCATGCAAAGCACACTGGTCAATATACGCTCAAAAGAACCCAGATTCTTCTAATTCTCGTTTCATGGAAGCATCATGAGATTAGGAGCAGTGTCTGCTATCAAACACGATCTAACGTCCCCAGATTGCTAGGAGGACGACGTCTTGTCTGGTGGCACAATGTTACGGGGATATGTAGGTGCTGTCCCGCTTTCTCTAAAGCAAATAGACCAGCGTGCAGTTATGTTCTATGGAGAGGTGACATGACCTTCTCAACACCTACGCTAAGTTACACAACAGCCGGTTCAGAGTCCCTTCTACATTGTCTGATTGGGTGTCCCCAAACCTTGCCCATGTACATGACTGAAATGAATGCATCGGTCTGCTTAAGCTAAACACACTGTGTGTAATTTGGGCTACAGGTCCTCGGGAACAAGGATATATTTAGTCATTTTCTGTTTACAATTAATTAGCCAAGCCACAGAGAACGAATGGGTCTTGCAGTAACCTGCAATAGAGTCAAAACACATGCGTATTCAATATCTTGTTTAACACAAGGCTATAAAGGATGACGGATGATCAGGTTCTCAGTTTGAATATAGATTCACATTTGAATCGACAAATAATTGATTAAAATCTACCATTATTTTCATTACCCCGTCCTTATAGCGAGGATACGTTGAATAGATACGTTTGTTTGTCTGGACGTATGGACGTACGTGTAACCTTGGTTACGTTGATTATGAAAGGTAAAATACTGCTATTTTATGTCCCACCTCATCTACTTGTGTCAGCTATTATTACAATATGTAAAATGGTTTGGACAAGTGATATCTAACTACATTTTCATGAATAACTCACTATGTTCACTATACACGTTCAGTTTTGGATGAACCCATCCATGCATTAATGTCAATGCAAAAATGGTACACCAGTTTTCCTATGCATATTTCTCGGCATGATTCTGAAATAACTATCGAACCCGTTTTAAAACATACGTCAGATAACGTATATATCTACTAGTATTTACCCACGTTATCCTACGTAAATACATTACCATGGCAACTATCAAAACTACGTTATCACATTCCAGACACATATTAACCATTATGATTTTCCATTGAACAATGGTCATTTGTGAAGAGCTTCTATGTTAGGAACAAATGTAGCCTAAGTCCTCCTCCTTGCTGTACCCCTGTACCAGGCTACCAGTGTACTCCTGTTGAAGTGAACCAGTGTATATAAACACAGTGTACCGAATGCATATATAGCTACCCTTTACTCATTCAGAACAAATACAGCCATCTCTAGGAACGTATAAATGTTCCAAAATTAACACCAGGGTGTGTTCTTCCCATTATGATGTGTGATGCTCTTTACAACAGGATTGCATTTAGTCATAGTTTAAATGTGCTTGTTTCTTTTCTCACATTTCTTCTTGTTTTGCCATGTGTCATCCATATATTAATGCAATACTATATGCTGAATCACCGGGCATTAATACCCTTAAACAGGCATCTACCTGTGTGGACCTGATTATTGAACCATCGATGCAAATGTTCAGGGTTCGATGCCAATACATCGATGACGAATGGTAATAATTGACATTGATTGAAAAAAGGCCTGATGAAATTAGAATATGTGTATCATAATTTGGCTTGAAATGACAAGCATATCTGTGACGTGACAAAATATCATTCAGAATTATAGTGGTAATGACTTTTACACATTGTCTGTACCAGTAAGCGCATTATATGTACCCATCATTATTATTACAGTGGGGGCGGTGGGGTAGCCTAGTGGTTAAAGCGTTGGCTCGTCACGCCGAAGATCCGGGTTCGAATCCCCACATGGGTACAATGTGTGAAGCCCATTTCTGGTGTCCCCCCGCCGTGATGTTGCTGGAATATTGCTAAAAACGGCGTAAAACCAAACTCAGTCAGTCAGTCAGTATTACAGTGGATTGAGACCTCGAGTTTCTCATTCCTATACTGCAAGGTGAGTACACTATGGTACACGTCTCAAATAACCATTTCTTGTTTCAGTTTGAGCAACCATCAAACATAAGTGTATACAATCTTTTGCTCATCAGTATTTCGATACTGGATCTGATTATAGCAATAGTCCAATTTAGGATCACGTAAGGCTATAATGATACCCTGTTATCATTGATATCATGTAGGTATTGCATGCAATATAAAACCATCACAGTTTCACCTCACAGTGTCATCAGGCTCTTTTCCAGTCGAACACATGCACATGTGCTTACTCATGATTTAATCATGAATATGCTTCACACATATGCTCTCTAGGTATAATTCATGAACTGCCACATTAAATCACACGAAACTGTAGCCTTTCTCCAGTCATGCCCATCTAATGCAAACAAGCATAGCTGGAGTGCAGCACCTTGCACAAACAGTCCTTGACAAGACTACACCGTTCAAATCGCAGTAACAAATGGCTTTCAGGACACACACCTGTATTTCTACCTGCATCGTTTGGCATCATCAAACACTGTCAGTGAATTCATCAAAGGCCCGCCGGCTGAGCTTCATCGATCAGATCAACAGATGTGTCTTGGTTTCTCATTGATTTTCCTTGGGATGTCATGAGATGAATACATAATGAGGAAAAGTGACAATATATAGTCATAGGGTATTAGTAGAGCTGTACAGTTCGGTGCTGTTAATCAGTTACACAGAGGTCGTGCACACAGATTTCTTTACCTGTTAACATTAATAGGATTTGGCAATTAAGCAATATTGATTTGATGTATGTTTGGGTTCAGTAGACAACCATTTCGGATATGAGAGAACTGCATATTGAATAGTTGACTGTACTCAATCAAATCTAATCCCAATCTAAAAAAATGTTGATTTAAAAAAATACTCCTCGTTCGAACTTCAGATATAACTAACAGAGTAATTGTTCCTTGGAATTCCGTGTGTGTGTTTTTAGCTGCGCATTGACATGTCTTTGCATGTGTTTGTCACGTGTGCCAGGATACGCTAATTTTGTGGACACCCGGTGCCGTCATTATTGTTACTGATTCATGCTCAGGTATCAAATCAAACCGAACCTCGGATTTCTTCTGAGCACACAGGGTTTATACGTCCATATATCAATGTCTACATGGGATTTCTCTCTTTATTCAACATATGTTGTTCAACTACAAATATTTAGTAATATTATGCTTCCAGTCAATATATCGCTCTTTGTAGGAAACAAGTGATTGATATTGTGAGCATCGACCAAGGCCATCGATGTAAACATTCAATTAAGTCACCAATTAAAGACCTACCAATGGCTCATGACTGGTTCACACAATCACATAGAATGTCTCAGAATAGTAAAGTATGTATATGCTTGACTTTATTATCATAGCAAGTTAATGCTGTTGAAATAGAATAACAGTGCAATCTGTTATTCTAACAGTAGTGTTAGTGTCCCCTGTGTTGAAACACAAAATAACTCCTTCCCATCATATTGGTATAGTCTGTATAAATACAAGACAAACATCTTTCTACTATTGTAATTCGTCAATTCACGTTAACAAAAGCATGTATTTATGAACCGGTATCAAATGGGAATGACACCTGGTGTCCGTGAAACTGGCGAAAGAGTCCTGCCCAACCCGTAGCACCTGTCCGAAATACATGCAAAAGCATGTCAAGCGTTCACCTGAAAAAATCAACTCGGGAACAAGGTCAAAGTATTAAACTGCTGCACATGCAACTGGCATTTGTCACTTAAGTGTCACATTTTGAAATGCCCTCCACATCACCCATCACAAAGCTTTATTATTCTTTACCCATCCCGGCAGACCTACAACCAACACTATCAACAAAGCTCACGTCGTTCTCTTCCTGGAAACAGGTGTCCCAATCAAACTCTCCGATTTCCCGTTCCAAATCACGCACGCACTCAATACACTTAGCTACACCGTCCAGAAGGTGGAAACCAAGTTTTAATCTGAATATAGTGTAACCCTAGACACGAAGCTCGGGCCACCGTATTAACCTTTACAGTTGTTGTGGACACTGATACCTCCCTAATCAGCCTCCCATTAAGCTTCATTGCAGCTCACGGCTCATCTATTTCCAGCGATAAAAGGGATGCATTTAACGTAGAAGGTACTTAATATAGAACTACCGTTATATCTGTTTGCTGACTCATCATTTTCTGTACTACGATATAGGCACACCTTAGAATGCTCTTGACAGTTACATTTAATATTTGTATACATGTATAGAAATGTAAAACATTTGTTTTATTTTACATTTGAATTCATTGCAAACTTTATTTAGTTATGTTCAAAGTAGGAACATTCATATAAGTAATTCATTTGATTGAGATTCTTTTCATGTCATTTTTGATTTACTTAACGAGATTAAACTATATCCCTCTGCAACTTTGAAGCGTATTAATTGTCAGTTTATATCAATATTGAATACACCGTCTAGTCCCGTTCCTGTTGAAAAGAATAAAGTGTAAATGATCTGAGCTGAATCCAACGTTTCTCGTTCGGCGAGAACCACCCGAGGTCTGTGAGACGTCCCATGACAATACCACACTTTGCACAGCTTCAGTGCCTCAACTCTGTCTCCAAGTGCAACACTGCCACTTAATAGGGGAAATCGATGCCAACTTCCTGCAGTACCCTATGTTGTAATAACAGATGTTCTGGCATATAGGCCTATTTCCAGTCTATTACCGCATGGTGTTGGAGAAATGGAAGGCGATCGAAAATACGAGTGCAATTACATTATCTAGCATTGGTATGGCGGTCTGCTCAACATTTATCCCATGTTAAGCGTGAACAAGTGCCCTGACGTCTACTGAAAGGCATCATTCAGTGGTAAAATCGGAAACGTCGTCTCCGAACGTCTTTGTGTAATATGCTGCTCTGAGCTAGACACATGCCTGGAGTCGAATCTGGTTCAGTTCACTTACTTATCTCTTCTGATCTGTCTATGAAACGAACGAGGACACAGTTCAACCATGTGATATACACCGCAAAGAGCTGTTACTTGATTTTCCTTCGAAGTGTACATAATTCGGATATGTAAGACATCCACTGATGTAATCCATTCCTTGATATGCGTCCGCTTCGAAACGTTATTCCCTGGTTGACGTCCAGTTATGGAAGCTATTCTCTGATAGACGTCCATAGCTAGAAGCTATTCGTAGATAGGCGTCCACTTTATGAAGATATTCATAGATAGACGTCCATTTTAGGAAGGTATTCTTTAATAGGCGTCTACTTAAGGAAGCTATTCTTTTATAGACGTTCACTTTAGGAAGCTATTCTTTGATAGACGTCCATTTTAGGTGTGTTCCTTTGATGGACGCGTTCTTTGGGAAGCTATTCCTTGATAGACATCCACTTTTGAAAGCTATTCCTCGTTAGACGTCCACTTTATTGAGGTCCACATTATTCTTCAATAGACCTCCACTTCTGGAAGCTGTTCTCTGAATGACGTCCACATCTAGAAACCATTCCTTGTTGGAAGTCCACTTTCAGAACCTATATTTTGATAGACGCCCACTTCTGGAGGCAGTTCTCGTACTGACGACCACATCCCTTGAACCTATCCCTTGTTAGACATCGAATGTAGGAAGCTATTTTTTATAGGATCCCACTTTGAGAAACTATTCCGTGTTAGACGTCCACTTCTGGAAGCTATTCCTTTTTGGAAGTCCATTTATATAAAGCTATTTTTTGAGAGACGCCCACTTCAAAAAGCTATTACATGTGTAGAAGCTGTTTCTTGACAGTTGTTTCACATGTACGACGTTCCCCTGGTGTCAGACGTTCATGTACACGTTCTGTCTCATACACATTGAACACCACAGCTGTAGTTAAACAGAGAACTCCTTTCAGCAGGTCCACCGTCTGTTACGTCTCTCTGAATGATCCATTGTCAACAACAACAGCCTTACAGGGGAATATGATGGATCGATAACTTGAACATCGATCGTACCTGGCGCTGTCCGAAGGTACTATCAAACAGTTATGTCACAATTGAGGCGGCTTTAAAGCACAATTTCAATAAATTTCAGCTTTCTTTTAAGTCTTTGCGTCTTTGAAAATAGAAATGTCTCAATGATATCATTATATATATCACTGAATCAAATAATTTCGTCTCTTCATCACTCCACCCTTTCAGGTAAGTATCAAACACACCGTCCATATTTAAAACGTCATATTCTTGATTCGTAAAATGTCCAATGGTGACTAGTCAATGACTGATGACTGGTGAGGCGTTTCCCAGCATTTACCGTTATTGGCACGGTGCCTATGATTTATACATTTCCCTGATGTCATGCTTATACCAGCAGTTCCATATCGAGGCTTTGTCTGCGAAAACACCGTTCATTGATTTCATCCCTATCCGAGTGCAGGAGAAAATGTGAAGAACAAAACGAGACTGCAAGGATTACCGCAGACCGTATATTTGCTCTGGCATCGGGCTTACAGAAAGATGCATTGCCGCACAATCGGCAGTAATCAATCAAGCTTCCCGAGGTCCAGTGTTGTAACGGTGGTTGTTATGTCATCGCGAACAACATCCATGTTCTCTGGATTCCTGCGGGACTAACTCCTCTTGGATTTGTGTCAGTGTGTATAATTCGTAGCCCGTTGTTTTTCATCGTCATCTGGTTATTTTCCATTTTCGAAATATCAGCAGTGACATAGCTTGTGGAACGGTTATTCTTGGTGTTTATTTCTTGACTATTGTTTACTGCTGTGTGTTGTCAGACAAACACGTGTTTTAAGCAAGTTGTGAGTTTCAGGTGTTGCTGATTGGACAGGAAAAACTAATCCTTTAACACCTGGTGTCCTTAAAGATGTTTCCGCGATCTATTCATATGCTGCTGATGGGACAGGATAAACTAATCATTTAACACCTGGTGTCTTATGGTCTTCCGTTATCTATTCATATGCTGCTGATACCGCAGGATACACTAACCTTTAACACCTGGTGTCCGAATTGTTTTCCCCGTGATCTATCCATATGCTGCTGATACCGCAGGATACACTAACCTTTAACACCTGGTGTCCGAATTGTTTTCCCCGTGATCTATCCATATGCTGCTGATGGGGCAGGATACACTAACCCTTTAACACCTGGTGTCCGTATTGGTTTTCCGTGATCTATCAATATGCTGCTGATGGGGCAGGATAAACTAACCTTTAGCACCTGGTGTCCTTATTAGTCTTCCGTTATCTGTTCATATGCTGCTGATGGGGCAGGATAAACTAACCTTTAGCACCTGGTGTCCTTATTAGTCTTCCGTTATCTGTTCATATGCTGCTGATCGGGCAGGATAAACTAACCCTTTAACACCTGGTGTCATCAGTGATACATTCATATATATTCAGTCCGATTTTGTCTTATGACTTTACTCCCAATGAAGTTTGTTTTGTCGGAGAATCAACACTGGATATTCTTTGGTGATGACGTCATAGATATATTACAAGAGAAGGACATCACACCTCAGTATTGTTCTGCGATTACATGTCAGTTATAGAAGAGTTCGTTGTTTGCGTTTTACATATTAAACGACGTTGAATGAAAGTCTTAACTCAGTCAATATTCGCCTTTTTTCGATTTTTCTTGTCATTGTAATTGTCCGGATTGTATAGTGTACGGACTAACGGGGTTCAACTGTCACTGTATGGCAGTATTATTTCGTTTTATGGTGATAATAAATGAAAAACAGATGTAAAACTCGCCAAATAATGTATTGTACGAATCAAGGTCCGGATCCACAAAGCGTTCGTAACGTTACGACTCTATACAACATCATTGACCTACGAATGACGCAGTGCTACGAACACTTTGTGGACATGGTCCCTGATGTGTAGTGGTATAACGAGTGGATTCGTTATACCAGATAATTCGAGTCATCCGACATTGAAAATATAGTGAATACCGGATTTACGAACATAGTTTGGGTCATGGGGGTACCTTGGTGATTTACCTTTATATCAACATTATCTTCCACAGGACCCTTGAATTTCCGGGGTAGAATAGGTCTTCAGCAACCTATGCTTGCAACAAAAAAGCGACTATGCTTGTCGTAAGAGGCGACTAACGGGATCGGGTGGTCAGACTCGCTGACTTTTTTGACACATGTCATCGGTTCCCAATCGCGCAGATCGATGCTCATGCTGTTGAACACTGGATTGTCTGGTCCAGACTCGATTATTTACAGACCGCCGCCATATAGCTGGAATAGTGCTGAGTGCGGCGTAAAACTAAACTCACTCACTCACTCACTCTCTTCCACAGTAGAAATATTTCAGTTTATGAATTCATAAATATTCATATACAGATAAAAAAAGACAAAGCCCCTTCCACATCCATAAGAAATCTCTGCTAACATCAGAATCGATAATACCGACTGTGTCGTGAGAATGTGTGCATGTATCATTGTCAGACAATGATGATAACAGGTGTTCGCGAAACGGTGAGGTTATCCTGCCCCACTGGTGGCACCAGTAATAAACAAATGGAAAGGCTAGCCAACCACCGTGCATACACACATATATGGTTATTCAGGGTCGGCCCAGCCACTGAGGAACTCATGTATGTCTTAAGAACCAGGAGTGAATGAGTACAGTTTTACGCCGCTTTAAGCAATATTCCAGCAACATCACGACTGGGGACACCAGTAATGGGCTTGACACGTTGTACCCATGAGGGGAATCGAACCCCTGTCTTCAACGCTACCTCACTACCCCTTAAGAACTAGGAGACAATATGAAGTATCAGAGAGTATCAGCCGAAACAGATTCTATTGGCCACCTGGTGGTGAAAAATGTATGAACTGACGACCGAAATTCACTGGGGTCACCAGGTACTCGCCTAGATGCGGGAATTGAGAGCGGGTTCTGTGATTTTGGTGCCTTCGTTGTCCTGACTCAATGGCATGCATACCTGCTGTTGGTTTCATTTTCACGACTGTCTGGTGAAGAATTTTACTGACTACAGCACAAAACAATGTCCTAACAAAGTGAGAATTTGCTTGAAAATTAACTACCAGTAACTACTACTACTACTGCTGCTGCTACTACTGCTACTATAACTACTACTACTACAACTACTACTACTACTACTACTAAGCTGCTGCTGCTATTACTACTACTACTACTACTACTACTACTGCCACTACTACTACTACTGCCACTTTCAGCGCTACTACTGCTGCTGCTACTACTACTACTACTACTACTGCCACTGCCACTACTACTACTACTGCCACTGTCAATGCTACTACTGCTGCTGCTACTGTGCTACTACTACTGTGCTACTACTACTTTTACTATAGCTACTGCTACTGCTACTGCCACTTCCACTACCACCACCACCACCACAACAACCACCACCATCAAATACCTCACTGCGGCGTAAAACAAAACACACTCAGGTTCGATATCTATACTTGATTCATACATGCTGCAGCCGAGGTGTGGAGGTACGTACAACTGTCGCGGACGGTTCCAACCATCGATCACGCTGGAGCGAGAACACAGCATGGGTCACGGTGTTTCATCTGACAAGCGGAAACCGCTGTAATCAGAGCCTGTAATACAATGATTATCTTCTACTTGTGGGAGAAGCTCGACAGGGTCGAAACCTGCATGTACTCCCAGGACAATTACGTGTACACCTAAAATGTCATACAGAGGACATGCGGTATTATCTTTATGTACGTTTTCATTCATCTGAGTGTTGCCTTTTTGGGATGTGTTTTTGCATGATCAGCTAGATTGTTATGTGTTGGCTGGTGTCTCGTTGTACGAGTGACTAGCTGTGTTGTAGCTGTGGTCATGTCGAGGTGTTGGCTGGTGTCTCGTTGTACGAGTGACTAGCTGTGTTGTAGCTGTGGTCATGTCGAGGTGTTGGCTGGTGTCTCGTTGTACGAGTGACTAGCTGTGTTGTAGCTGTGGTAATGCCGAGGTGTTGGCTGGTATCTCGTTGTACGAGTGACTAGCTGTGTTGTAGCTGTGGTCATGTCGAGGTGTTGGCTGGTGTCTCGTTGTACGAGTGACTAGCTGTGTTGTAGCTGTGGTAATGTCGAGGTGTTGGCTGGTGTCTCGTTGTACGAGTGACTAGCTGTGTTGTAGCTGTGGTAATGTCGAGGTGTTGGCTGGTGTCTCGTTGTACGAGTGACTAGCTGTGTTGTAGCTGTGGTAATGTCGAGGTGTTGGCTGGTGTCTCGTTGTACGAGTGACTAGCTGTGTTGTAGCTGTGGTAATGTCGAGGTGTTGGCTGGTGTCTCGTTGTACGAGTGACTAGCTGTGTTGTAGCTGTGGTAATGTCGAGGTGTTGGCTGGTGTCTCGTTGTACGAGTGACTAGCTGTGTTGTAGCTGTGGTCATGTCGAGGTGTTGGCTGGTGTCTCGTTGTACGAGTGACTAGCTGTGTTGTAGCTGTGGTAATGTCGAGGTGTTGGCTGGTGTCTCGTTGTACGATTGACTAGCTGTGTTGTACGAGTGACTGGCTGTGTTGTACGAGTGACTAGCTGTGTTGTACGAGTGACTAGCTGTGTTGTACGAGTGACTAGCTGTGTTGTAGCTGTGGTTATGTCGAGGTGTTGGCTGGTGTCTCGTTGTACAAGTGACTAGCTGTGTTGTACGAGTGACTAGCTGTGTTGTACGAGTGACTAGCTGTGTTGTACGAGTGACTAGCTGTGTTGTAGCTGTGGTAATGTCGAGGTGTTGGCTGGTGTCTCGTTGTACGAGTGACTAGCTGTGTTGTAGCTGTGGTCATGTCGAGGTGTTGGCTGGTGTCTCGTTGTACGAGTGACTAGCTGTGTTGTAGCTGTGGTCATGTCGAGGTGTTGGCTGGTGTCTCGTTGTACGAGTGACTAGCTGTGTTGTAGCTGTGGTCATGTCGAGGTGTTGGCTGGTGTCTCGTTGTACGAGTGACTAGCTGTGTTGTAGCTGTGGTAATGCCGAGTGCGGCCTTAAACAACAGGGGAGAAACAAACAAATAAAGGCCTACGATGAACTATTATTCATCCACGAATTTACTTTTATTGAGTCATGTATTTAATATATGCAGGGATGGAAGTTATGGTAGATGGACAATAACAACGGCAGCTGTTGTAGTCAGAGTGGATGTGGAACGGATGGTGGTGTGGTGCTGTGTGGAGATGGTAGTTGTAGTTGTAGTAGTAGTAGTAGTAGTAGTTGTTGTAGTAGTAGTAGTAGTAGTTGTAGTAGTA